GTCACTGAATCCGTGTAGCCTGGTGGATTTCTCCAGGCAGTTTTCATTTTTTTTAGCTTTATTGCAGTGTAGTTCTTACGTTTTTCTTCTGGTGCACTGACTATTCTGCTTCATTCTATCTGTTTTCACAGTCTGCAGCTCCTGTAGGCTGCAGGCTCTTTGAAGACATAGCTTTGTGTATATTTCATATAGACACTCTCCTTCATGTATCGCCTCATCCTGCTATAGCACTTCATGCTGCATGTGACGTAAGAGGATGAATGTCCTTCTGGTTATTGATATGGGGAAATATTCTCTGTTTTTTTCTTCCCAACGGAATGAATATAAATTGGCTTTAACTTTTAAAACTGCACCTTAACAAGATAAAAAAAAAAGTCCCTGTTTGTCCTTTTAGTCTGACCTATAGAACGCAAAAGCAACTTACTCTAATTGAGGTACCTAGTATGATTAGTGTTTGGAAAGTAATGAGATTTGGTTTACTTGAAGAAAATTTGGATGAATCTGAGCCTCATGCAATATTTTAAACTAATTGTTGAATCTGTAGGGCAAAAGAGCTCATAACCTTTGATCCATTTTCAAGAAGATGAATTGAGGCTTTTCTCAACAAAGCAGGGGACAAAGCCATGGTGATTTTCTTTCTTAATGTTATGTAGTAAATTTCATTTGATGTAAATAAATTCAGTATCCTAGTAGATGGTATTTTATTAAAAGATAAAACTGATGCTTTATAGTTTTAGTAAATGTTTACTAAATAACAGATAATATTAATAACTATTAATATTATCTGAATAATATGAATTATATTATATTAATTATATGAATAATATCTGAATTAGGTGATATGTAGCAGGTATTAAATGTGACATTTACCTAGCATTCAAATAATAATTTTTTTAGGTGCGTGTGTGTGTGTGTGTGTTTGGAGCTATTTTACATACTTCAGGTATCTGCAGAGGTCAGAAAAGGATGTTGGATCCCATGGAGCTGAAGCTATAAATGGTTGTAAGACTCCTGACATGAATACTGGAAACCAAAGCCTGGATCTTCACAAAGAATAGCAAACGTTCTTAATTTCTGAGCCATCTCTCTAGCCTACAAAATGACAAACATTAAGTTAGACTATTAAGGAAGGAGATCAAATTAAAAGGCAATACACGTCTTCTGAGAAAAAGAAGAAAATTATTTTGCTTGATAATCCAAGACCTCATGATGAACATGGGTATAGATAACCATGAGGGGTCCTAGTTAGAAGACCATCATAAGCAAACATGATTCAACTGTCATTGCTCCTTTCTCAATGACTGACAGAGAAGTGTTACAGAAAGACAATGTCTTCACAGTTGTTTCTGGCACTTTAAAGGGTTGGGAGGCAGGATACTGAACTGGGAGGATGTGTTTTACTTACTCCACTGGGAGCAGTTACTCCACTGATGTTAATCTAGTTGTGGTGCTTTATTTCATACATAGTTTCACAGTACTTTGTTATGTATTTAGTCTAGTCTACCTCTACTTTAGGAGTTACTAAAAATCACAAATGTAATGAACGATTCCAAACCTAGCTTCCATAGACAATGAATCAAAAAAGAACAAAGAGCCAGTGTGATTTTTGTTTGTTTGCTTGTTTGCTTCCTTCCTTCCTTGATCTCACTTATACCACAAAGAGCAAATGGGCTATGTCAGGCACCTGATGTCCTCAAGTTTTTCTTTTTCTAATTTGGAAATAATAGGATTGACTTGGGTGAGTTCTAAAGCCCTTTCAGCTATGCTTTCTCTGGTAAAGCAACTAACACAAACATCCAAAGGATCCACCAGAGCACTGAGCATCTAAAACACTAAGAATGTATTTAATGCTTACTAAGAACATAAGCTAAAAACTAAATTTTGTAGACTATTATAGCTTCTACAGGATAGGTGGTGGGTTCCTGCTGAGAGGGCAGAACCAGCTACCTTTTCCAAGAATGTGTTAAGATATAGAAGAAAATAGTAGAAAATTAACCCTTATAAATGTCAAATTTTGCCTACTGTATAATTTAAATTGTTTAAAATGTTGCTTATTTGAATAATGAAGCATTTGAAAGATATATCTTAAAAATAACAATACTAGGTATTGATTTGAAGTCTAAACAAAACAAGTACAAATTAGTCTAGAGAAAACGTCATGTAACTATGTAATTATATGTATTACTATATGTGGGCTATCATTTATAAAACTAAATTTAGCATAGGTATTTATTTAAAGAAATATATCTGTATTTTATATTTAAATCTTTCCTATTTTGTTTTGTAAGCATTTATTGTCATTAGAATGTTAACTTTTATAATATGTGTATAATTACACAAGACAGATGCCTTAAAATTAGTACCGTGTCAGGATTAGTTGTCTAAACTGAATTCTAAATTTGATCACTGTCTGCAATGATTTGGGAAAACATTGCATGAAACACCAGAGCATCCAGACCATCATAATAGTATCCACTGCCACTAGAGCTCAGAAATTGTTTTATGTCTAGACAGAATCCAAAGCAAGGGCACAGATTTTGAAATTAGTAATTCGATACCCCAACTAAACATTTAATGTGTTTAAGTTTTATTAATTTTAAGAAAATAAAGTGATGTAAAGTGTTTGATTATATTTTGGTTTTAATTAAAATATAATTGCATCAATTATCCTTTTCCTTTTCTGTCTTCCAATCCCTCCCATGACTCCTACTCCCTCTCCAACTGAAGGTCTCCTATTTTGTGATTTCTCTTGTTTCACATACATACACATACACACACACACACACACAGAGAAGCGGGGGAAGGGGGGAGAATATGATATGTTCACTTAGTGAGGCTTATGTGAATGTGGTTTCTGGGTTGACCACTTTGTCTTTGATAACCAGTTAGTGAGATTCCCAGGAGAAGTTAATTCTCCATCTTCTAGATGTCATTAGTGGTGACCCTTCTGTTGTTGTTGTTGTTCCTGATTCCTCCTTCTATGTTAGCATGTCCATTGATATTATTACTGTTCAAGTCATGTTTTGTTATTTTTTAAACATTTCTATTTGATATTTATGGACATTTTGCATGTGTGTAGATCTGTACACTGCTTGAGTGTCTGGTGCTTGCAGAGGCTAAAAGAGAATGTCACATACCCTGGAACTGGAGTACAGTGATTGTGAGCTGTTATTTGAGTATTTGGAGTAGAACCCAGATCTTCTGTAAGAGCAGCCAGTGCTCCAAAATTTGAGCCATCCCTCCAGTCCTATTGTTTGGTTATTTTAAAAAATATAAGTATACTTACGTTTATAAGACCTGTGGATATATTTCTAATAATGTAGTCCGGATAATAGTACCATTACAATTACATCAACAGATTGTAAAAATGCAAAATCCCAGCATTTTCTGCAAAATGTTAGGTTATTCTGTGTATCTAGGAAATACTCATATACTCATAGAAAGCACTGTGGGCAAAGTTGCTACCTACATGGAGTGTTGCAACTATCCTTCTCAAAATGGCTTTTATTCCCAGTCTGTGTTGAAACTTCTCATGATAGATATTGGAGAGGGGCTGTATTTTTAAAACTTAAATATCAAGTTTGTCTGAAAAGAATAAAAACATTTGTTGTGTTTTAATTCGTTGTTTAACTTTTGGGCCTTTTTAAATTTTATTTTTGTCCCAAATGGGTGTGTTTATCTCCATTTTGACCAAAATCTACAAAGATAAAAAAGTATGTCCTTTTGTTTATCTGTCTCTGTGAGTGGTGTGTGTCAAAATATTACGTTAGAAATGGTTTTCCCTTCGAAAGATGAATTTTCCAGAAAAGAATTTTTCCTAAATTGAGTCCTTGCCTTCTTCTTCATAGGATTGCCAAGATCATTTTCAAGAAATATATGACTTGTGATGTTTTTTATGTCATTTTGTTTTAAATTCAAGCATGCTAGCATTCTCTTCTTGGGGGAAAATTGATAGCTTCTCTTAAGGGCACTACTATTTAGAATGGAGATTCTTGTCAGGATTGTCTGTGATTGCTGGACTCTACATATATAGGCAATCTTCTTCCTATGTTTCCTTCAGTTAAGATAATTTTCTCTTTCACCTCCAAATATATTACATGCAAAAATGTGGTGTCCAAAAACATGGTGATGGCCGCTACCCTGAAGTTCCTAGCTGTCAGTTTGTATTTGATTGTAGACATGTATGATTAGCTCAGTATTTCTCATCACTTGAGGATCTTCTGCTTGTGATAGGTAATGTAACAAGAACTCGTCACATTTCTTTAAGTCTTGTGCATTTCTACGTGGGAGAGTAGAGATTCAGACAGCTCCGTAAGTGTTAAGTTATCTTTGGATTGAAATTTTAGAATAAGACGTCAGTAATTTGCTGTCATCTTAGTGCTTTCATCCAGAGACTGTCTTTTGTTGTACTAATGCACCAGATGCTGCTAACTGAGCTGACACTGTATCCCTGCACATAAAACTTCCTTAGGTCCTTACTTGCCCCAATGGACTTTAAAATGTGTTGACTAATGCCTATGTCTTTAGTTCAAATCTCTTGTCTTCTTCCAATTGTCTTTTGCCTTCTGTACTACATATTCCAGGTATATCATTACTTTGCCATTTTCAGAAGGTTGTGATGACTGTTAGATAAGTTACATATGTTTCACCAAGAACATATTGGATCACTTGGGCAAATACAAAGTGTTGAGCTAATGGGTCTGGCTATGGTAGAGTCTAATAAGAATTAGTCTCCCAGGGCTGGATTGATGTCTCAGTGGTAAAGAGCACTCACTATCTGCTCTTCCAGAGGTCCTGAGTTTAATTCCCAGCAACCACATGGTGGCTGACAACCATCTGCAATGGGATCTGATGTCTTCTTCTGGTTTGTCTGAAGACAGCAACCGTGTACTCATACATAAAATAAATAAATTTTAAAATAAGAATTAGTCATCAATAGGATGGATCATGTGATGATTTACTTAGGTTTTCATGTACCTTGTCTGTTCCTCACTACACAGCTCCCCCGACAGTTCGGATTGTGCACTCAGGACTGGCCTGTAATATCGAGGAGGAGCGCTACTCCGAAAGGGTTTATACCATCCGGGAAGGAGAAACTCTAGAATTGACCTGTCTGGTTACTGGACATCCACGCCCACAGGTGAGTCCTGAGCTGCGTGTGGCACTAGAGCAGGCTATGACTTTTCTTGGAAGTTAAAAGCTACATTTTACAAAATTAAGCTAGAATTTGTGTGTGTGTGTGTGTGTGTGTGTGTGTGTGTGTGTGTGTGTGTGTGTGAGAGAGAGAGAGAGAGAGAGAGAGAGAGAGAGAGAGAGAGAGCATGCTTTTATTTGCAACTTCATGTAAGTGAAGAGAATGAAAGACAAGGGTAATAATTTCTAAAAATTGATCAAAGTCTTTCAATGCTTAATCTGAAACAAGGAATTTTAGGTTTTATAGCATGAGAAATTTAGAATACACTTCCAAGAAAGCTGTTAAAAAGACAACTACAAAAATAGCTCAGTAAGATAACAATTCATATGGCAATGAGTTTATTTTAGAATGTGGAGAACCTGAATTCATGATGACATAATTGTACCTGAGGAGGCTTTGTTTTGAAGAACGTGATCCGTGATGTCGCAGGCACCGTTCTTATTCTTAGCCATTATATTCAAAAATGTTTTAAATAAATGTTTACATGTGTTGAATAACTTTGAAATTTCATATTAATCAACCACAGCATCCTTAAGCAATTAGCAATGGCAGCCTTTGCTAATCATTAGTATATTACTATATCATATATAATAATATCTTCTTATTACTGTGGCCCTTGTCATTTGCTTCAACTACTCTTACCTCTGATTAAGAAAATCTGAATTCCATCTTGATGAACAAATAAAAATAATAAATAATATGTAATAATATCTTATTATATATGATATAATCAATAATTATATAAATAATAGAAATTTAAAAGGCACTAAAATAACAAATAACATACAAAATTAAACATACAGGACCAAAGAATTATTCATAAAATGAATCCATGTAGTTATACATATAATATAAATTGTAATTTGTATACAAAACACTAAAATGTTTTTACTCATGAATTTTTATTTTCATATACTTAATTTGACCCCTTCATAGCTCACATTGGTATTTAAGTATAGCAATATAAATTATATAAATATGTATTATCAAGACAAAAATGTCTGGCTATCACTTCTCCAGAAGAGAATCGAGAAAAAAATGAGAGTTTTATGAATTCCCCACTGTGTCCCTTGTCATTTGCTTCAACTACCCTTACCTCTGATTAAGAAAATCTGAACTCCATCTTGATGGACAAATAAAAATAAGCTTATGATATGAAGAGGTATTGATTACATAGGTTGATTAGTAGATAGAAAAATGGATGATAGAAGTTAGATGGATCGATACAAAGACTCATAGGACCACAATAATGATTGAAATCTTAAACTACATTTTGTTAATTTAAACTTGTTGGTAAACTCTAAACTCTAACTCAAACAATGTCTAAAATTTTATAAATAAAAATTACAATGGTTAAAAGCATGAGTAGTTATATTTACTATTAACAGAGTATAAGTTGAAGAGAGAAGATCTCTTAATAAAATTAAATTTCATAAAATTGGATTTAAAATAGTTAAGTATGCTCAAACAATGGTCAAAAAAAAAACCAGAAAAGAGCCAAAATTGAAAATTATAAAATTAGATACCAGAGAATAGTGTTTAAAAATTCAGGGAAAATATTGAGTTCAGTGAAATAATTTCATCAAATATTTCAAAACCATATTTATAGTTAAATAGTAGCTCAAGAAATTTTGATACTGTTACAATTTAATTTTGTAACTAAAAGACCTAATAAGATATCTAGAATCAAAATTTGGAATCAAAATCGATTAAATTATCAGAAGACACAAGGAGGTTGGTGAGATACAGTTCCCGGAATGAGCTGACCACTGGGTCTCATTGTTACCACATTGGGCTGCACCTGCACGTATTTTGAATTGTAAACTTCAGTTTAGAATGGAACTTTTGTCTGGTTCTGCCATCGCCAGAGTTCTCAGAGCACTCTATAACAGTCCCCATTCCCCTTTAACCTTAGAAGCATCTTACTTTGGCAGTGAGACTTCTCTTTCAACATTCACACTTCAGAGTGTCATCTTGTTCTCTAGCTAATCTGAAATGTATTCTGGAAAGAAGAAAAAAAGAATTAGGAGATATCTTAATTCCCTAACCAGTTCCATTTGGGGGACTATTTAAATTCGTTACCTTAGTTAAAAAGTAAAAAAGAGAAAAAAAAACAAGACAATAAACAACATTAACAAAAACTACCATGTTTTTATGATCATCTTTTAATCCATTCCTAGAAGTAACTGTTGTATTTGTATTCTGATCAGTTTGAGCTGATAGTTCCTCTTTGGAATAGTTGACTGCGTGTTCTCTTTGCCAGCAGGCTGTCTAAGGCAGGCTGACTGAACAGCTGGGGCTTGGCATTCTGGCCAAAGTCTAAAGGGCAGACTATTGGCAGCTGCTCCAAAAGATGACTTTTTTCTGGCTTATAGTAACTTGATGAAGAGAATTACTTCTGTATCTAGTCTGCCACTAGGGATCTGAAAATGCAGACTAGGGTCATCTTATTCTCTTGTCTTTGTAGTTTTTAGTCTCCCATCTCTTTTTATAACTTTTAGAATTATAAAGACTGCCCATTTCCAAAAATATTACATACTCTCAAAAAAAAACTATTTTTGGAGATCATTGTAAGTAGTCCAAGAATAATGATATATACAAAAGAAATCAAATAAGAAGGTTTCACTCAGGTGGATTAAACAGTGACACTATAACCAGAATACTTGTAATATCAGCTTCCTCCTTCTAACAGAGTAATATAGGGGAAATTCTCTAACTTCTGTGTCTTACATCACAGGATTTTGTGTATGTAACAGAAATTGAAACTTATAAATGCCTACTTTATATTATATTTATATTATAAATGTGCACATAGACATATACATGTGTATGTTTATAAAACATATACATGCACATATATAATATGAACGCACATGCTTTATATACTATTTGAGAAAATAGACTATTTCAACTTAAAGCTCAGTCATGAATATTTTCTTACTCAATGATTTCTACATCTTTGCTTATTGGATGTTCATATTGTCTCTTATTTTATTCTCAGTTTGGTATGCATCTCTTTAAAGACTTTTGAGAATTTCACATAATAAGTAAATTCTGCTGCTGAAAAATATATCATAAATTTTTCTTCTGGGGTAATAGTTTTGGTTGAGGTTTTGCTTTTAAAAGATAAATTCTTTTAATCTTACTTTGTTTTAGTTCTATAAATTTCTAATACAATTTGACATTTTAGAGGCCAAGAGTCTTTTACAGACATTGTTTGTTCAGTATGCTCTTGGCTGGGGTCAACCATTTATTTCTTCCTTATGAATTAAAGTATAAGCATTTCACCTTTACATTGTGATCTCAATATTTCCTCATTTACTCTGTAAAATCATATGAGAAAAATCATATGACAAACTTTTCAAAGGATCTTCTAAGTAGAATATCTTTCAGACTAAAAGGCAACTCTCAGATTCAGTTTACTATATTTCTTACAAAAATTATAATATGTGCATATGAAAAGTAGACATACTGTATTTTGAACACGCATGTGCACTCATACACACACACACACACACACACACACACACACACACACACAATGGGGAGAATAGGTTCTACCAGAAGTCCTCAGACATCTTTTCATGGATTAGAAAATACAATATAATTTATTTTTTTCATTAGCCATATATCTGTTTAGACTGGATCAGTCTTCTCTTTCATGGGAGAGAATTGCTACTACAAATACTTTTTTATATTAATCATTGGATGTAGTTGGCATGGTAATAAGTTACAAGAGACGCTCAGGAAGTCATTGTCTCAAATCCTACATGCATGCTACTTTGATATGCTCTCCATAAACATCCGCCTAGTTCTATTCAGAAGTGACTAATATCCTCATTAAGTTCATATTTATGTGGTTAAAAGTATCAAACAGCTTTTACTGGTAGATATCATATCTTCAATAATTTTGTTTTCATTCATTTTATAGAGTATGAAGAAGACTTGTATTGAATCAGCTTTATATTTAAAAGATTGCTTACACTTTTTAGTCTAAATATATTATCAAGATTTTAAATTAAAACTTCCCTGGTTACAATGTTACATTTGTCCTTTCGATGATCTAAGTGTATTTACTATTATCACAGAATTATAGTTGTTTTTTCCTATGGATAACATCTGTGCATAGAAGAACCAGCTAATATCTATGTCTATCTATCTCTGTCTCTCAATTTATAGCTCTATCTCTATGTCTATCATATATAGAGAGAGAACAAGAGAAAGGCATATATATATATTATATTATATTATATTATATTATATTATATTATATTATATTATATTATATTTAGACTAGATCTGTCTTCTAGAATGTATGTAATAATCTGTGAACTTTCTTTAAAATCCTTAGCTAATGTGATTAGTCAAAGTACTTTATAGGACAATATATGCAGATTGTATTTAGTTATAAGGAAAATTTAAGTTTTCAGTTTGTATGTGGTACAGCTGAACATCAGAAATTCCCTAAAGTCACAGAACTAAAGTTTAGAATCTTTCTTCTGTAAAGCCTCATGGAGTTTAGGATTCTCATTCACTGCCTTGGAATCAGGACTAAAGTTGGCTTCATTCTTCTATCGCAGCTTACTGCCATCAAATATTTTCATCTTCATATTGCCACAAAATAGAGCTTTACTTACTGGTCCTAAAACACCAACTTTTAAAAGACAGCATCTCCTGTAAAAATAATGTAAGAGATGAATTGAAATCTAAAAGTTTTAGTGGGTTTTTAATCAGAAAGTTTAACAACCCACAAATAAGAGTTTCCTATCTCTTACAGAAGAGCATACTGTAATTCTAACTGAATATAAAGTGCTCAAATTTCTGTTTTATGTGTAAATATTGGCCAAAATAATAAGTATACTGTTAAAGCAGAAGTCTGCCTATCACAACCAAATAAAATCTGTGAGTGTGTGTATGTAGTTCAGTGGTTTAGCCCTGTGTAGAAT